AAAATAATATAAAAATAGTTAAATAAATATACGATTAAAATTTGTAAATGAGAAATAAAGTTCCTAAAATGGAACATGATATTAACAAAAAAAATATAAAATTAATTTAGTAAGCTATAAGTGGTATAATAAAATTTATATTTACAAAGTTGACAAAAATAAGAAACTTTAATAATTTATTSAGCTATAAGCAACAATTAAGGAAACAAAGGCAGAAAATGGGTAGAAAAGACAATCTAACTATAAAAAGTCTGTACGAAAATTGCATACAGTGCCAATAACCGCCAAAGGTTGGCATGAGCAAAATACTTTTTAGTAAACTGATATGTATAGATGTGCACACTTTTATGAATTAAGTGAAAAACCTTTCTTTTTTTTGCTTTTTATGCGTGCATCGGTGGAGTGTGTCTTCTTATAAAAACCGAATAGTTTTGCTGATATTTATAAAATAATTTCCGTATAAAACAAAAAAAAAAAACGCAAACAAAAATTTCAAGACTGCCAAGAAAACAATTAACTACTTTCTTTTCAAAATTAGACCACAAAATTAAAAAAAGAAAATTAATAACCCAGTCAACAACCTTTCAGCTTTATTATTGACTAAATACATTCACATATTACCGCCTTTTCTTAAACTACTCACTTAGCAAATCATTTCACTTTTCATAGTCGCCCGACAACTATTATGCCACAACTCGTGGCACACTTGCGTTGCAAACAAACACATAAATCCAAATTGCTTACAACAACGTATAGAAAACACCACAGCAACCACTACATTCGCGATTTGCAACTGCAAAGTGATTATTTTTATTATTTTCTAACAGTTTCTTTACACTAGTTGTTGCATATTAAGTTTTTTTTTTTTTTTGTTGTATGGCATATTTCTTAATCTACCACACCGGTCTACCAACGCGCGCTTGCACCTCAGCTGCAAGCAACAGAGCCACCACCACAACGCTGAGGAGTCGCGCAAGACACGAAGCACGCGCAAAAAACATTACAGCTGCCGAGGCAACGAGAAAACGAAGAAAAAAGTATGTCAACAATGCAGAAACTTGTCTTGCCGGTCCACCGAGCAGCATTCGTCTGCGGCGCTTTTTACGTACTTTGCGGCAGATGTTTCCTAATCGCCAGCCACTAAAGCTGCGCTCACTATATACGCTCACTATATACGCTCACTAATATACAGTTTGCAATGTTGTTGTTGCACTCGTGACAACAAAAATTGTGGGTGTGTGATTGTTGTCAACAGGCAGCCAGCCAAGAGATTTTGGCAAAGTGTCATAGAAGCGCCGACGGCCAGCAGCCGCCAGCTTTCAACCGAGGCGGCGTGGCGTGGCATTCGGTCAGCGGGTAGGCCGGTCGGTTGGTCGGTCGATCAGCCACTCATTTGCGGCATTACTTGGACTGACAGCATTTGACTGGCTCTGGGTTAGTGGGTTGCTGCTTTGTGACATATTCATTGCGCTCTACCTGTGTTTTATATATTTGTTGTTGTTGCTGTTGCAATAGCCGATTGCAGCTACAAAAAAATGCTGTGACGTGTAACGATTGCTCAATAAAAGCTACATACTTTTTCTCTCCTGTGCTGGGGAGAGAGGACAGGTGGCTGCTATATCTGTGCAACTCGGATAACTTTGCGAGTATTTGTGTGTGTGTATTGTAATGGCGCACCAGCATATTTTTGTTTATAGTTTTGCGTATGCTGCTGCGAAAGCGCGCGATAAAAGCCGATGATGAGCGATAAATGCAAAAGCAAATATATATTTTTAACGGTAGTGGTAGTAAGTTGCACGCGATTACATAATAATCGAACAAGTTTGGACACACATACATTATACATTTATATGCATATGTGTATATATGTGCATGAAATATATAAAACTGTGGGTATGAATACTAGCTTGGAAATATGATAATTTAAAATCATAAAATGATAATAATTTTAAATGCGGCTTATTTGTATTATAGTATATATGTGTATGTGTGGCAGAAATTACCAAGTGCTCGTTGCACATCATGGAACGTAGTTTTGTGCTTGCAACATTTGTCTGTGCTAATTCTTCTGTTAAAGCTTTGTATGAATTTTGTTGAATAGCACGTACTGGTGTTAATTAATGTAGAAGATAAAACACGGATCAAAAAGTTTAGAGTATTTAAACCAGTATAATTAGGGAAATAATTACATTGCTTAAACATTAAAAGCTACCAAAATTAAAAAATAAAAA